AGTGCGCTTTCATCCAGAGCGTCTCTCACATGTTCCGCCATGTGCTTCTCGTCCGTGCTTATTTACATCAGAGTGCGCACGTGTCTTTCACGCAGCATGCAGCGGTGTTGTGCATTTTGACCAGTTGATGGGAAAAGTATTCTTAAAATGCATTCAACATTCTGAATAATTTGTAATATATAATTATTCACGGTATTTAGAAGTGCCCACGATAACAATATTGTGCATATTCATTACCGTGATATATCGCATTACCGAATACCGGCACAAGTCTAATGTCTATAGGCCCTAAAGTTCCAGCTCATCATATATGTTATCTGTATGCTTTCCTTCTTATATTGCAGTTCAATTGCAGTGATACTTATTTATTTTTCTACCAAATTGTGCAGCCCTACACACAAAAAAAAAGGCATTTCCTCTCACTCATGTTGCTCTCATGTTTTTCTTTCTCCCATGAAACACAAAAGGAGTTGCCTAATTATTTTGCAACTATTTACTCATAAGTGAATGAGAACTAAATGAGAAAAAAAGATTCCCTGACATTATGATTGTTTTCAGATCTTGCATATTTTTTCATTCTTGATGTAACACATGAGAAGCAATTAAGTTTGTGCACAATTTCTTCTTCTATGGTGCAAACAGCACTTCTGGTTTATGTAACCTGAGAAGTTCTTGCTATATTATAGATGTCAACATCACTGGTTCTTATGTGTATCATAGATGCAGCAGATTTGAATGTGCAAATCCATGACATGGCTTCAGACGACTTGGAATATATTGCAATGTATGCAGTATTTTATGGCAGGTAATTGTAACCTATACTAAAATATGTTTCCAGACATTTTAATTTATATTTTATTAGTTTATGTGGGGAAAAAACAGGTCGGTCTGTTTTAAAATTTGTATGTCAATTTCTGCTATTTTTAACTATAAAATGAAGCATACAGTTATAATAGAAATAATAAAATTAGAAAAATGAAGTAATAAGATTTATCTAAAAACATGGGATAAATTGCATTTATATTTTAATTATTGTATTGATTAATATTTATATAAAATAAACAATAATGAGTGTGTCACTCTCCTAGTCCTCACATCCAGGTAATCAGACTTGACATATTTTCCCTGTTTTATTCTACACCTTCTGCACAGCGTTAATATTCTGATTGTATATCACTTTTTCACTGGACCATCTTTTTGTGGTTCTCAGATGTAATAAAAAATGATGAGGACGTTGAAGATCTTGATGAAGATGTTTATTGCAGCATAGCAGTGACAAAGTACATGTTGTACCTTGGCTTCAACAGAGTCGGAATGAAGCCAGAACATCCTAAACTCAAATCGTTTACAAATTTACAGTTTACTACCCTTAATGGAAATGAATTTGCTCCTGTCGTAACAGCTGTGGTTTGTATGTTAATGAAGTTCTGTCACCTAATTGTCTGAGATGGTTCTCGGTGTCCCACACCCGCTCCCATTCTACAATTGGTCACCATTTGTTTAGGATGTGATCATCCCAAATGATCTTAGAAACAACATAACTGTTGACTTTCTTCATCTCTATAATAATTAAGCCATTTTGGGAAATGAGCATGATCAAACATCTATTGTGGAGTGGAATCTGGGTCGGGGCAGACTATAGTTTCTTACACAGATAAGGCACCAGGGCAAGCAAGGTTGGAAGCTAACTTCATTTTGAAAAGGGCAGTTTGTCATGTATCTGAGTGAGCAGGGCAGGTCTGTTCTTAAAGTGACCAGTTCATCATATATATTTCCCTTCACCCCTGTCTAAAGTGACACTCTTTATGGACAAGTGGCGTGTTCGCCACCATGTTTCTGTCATCACCCTCATGCCAGTCATCGACGGCGTGACGGTGACGAGCCATCAGTCAGTGCTAATGAAAGGGATTCATTCAGCTCACTCGCTGAGAAAGCGTCTATCTATCCTCTTCTCTAAAATTAGTCTAATGGAGTCCCCTCGGTCTGGCTTCCTCTGCGGTAATGAATTAAGTGACAGTGAAGAGGCCATAAGTATGTGGGGTCCTACGGGAGCCGCCTGTGAGATATAATTGTCAAGCGGACAAGACGATCCGTCTCTCTATCATCGCTCTCTATCTTGTTGATGTGTTTGTATAGATACAAATAAACACAGGCAGTCGACAGGTAGACAGCAGTATGGAAGCCCGTTTCCGCCACTAAATAAAAAATTAAAAAGGTAATTGCGACTTTTTATCTCACAATTCTGACTTTTTTCTCATAATATTAAAATTAGTCTAATGGAGTCCCCTCGGTCTGGCTTCCTCTGCGGTAATGAATTAAGTGACAGTGAAGAGGCCATAAGTATGTGGGGTCCTACGGGAGCCGCCTGTGAGATATAATTGTCAAGCGGACAAGACGATCCGTCTCTCTATCATCGCTCTCTATCTTGTTGATGTGTTTGTATAGATACAAATAAACACAGGCAGTCGACAGGTAGACAGCAGTATGGAAGCCCGTTTCCGCCACTAAATAAAAAATTAAAAAGGTAATTGCGACTTTTTATCTCACAATTCTGACATTTTTTTCTCGCAATTGTGAATTTACATCTCACAATTCTCACGTTTTCACTCAGAATTGTGAGATATAAACTCGCAATTCAGACTTTTTTCTCAGAATTGTGAGATATAAACTCGCAATTCTCACTTTTTTTCTTAGAATTGCGAGTTATAAAGTCAGAATTGCGGGATATAAACTCAGTTGCAAGAAAAAAAGTCAGAATTGCGAGATTATATCACGCAATTCTGAGAAAAAAAAGTCAGAATTGCGAGATTGTATCTCACAATTCTGAGAAAAAAGTCAGAATTGTGAGATGTAAAGTTGAAATTGCGAGAAAAAAAGTCAGAATTGTGAGATAAAAAGTCACAATTACCTTTTTTTTTTTTCATTCAGTGGCGGAAACGGGCTTCCATACAGCAGAGTTTAGGAGGAGCTAAGGAAAAGATTGATTTTTTCCTCAAAAAAAAAAAAAAAAAAAAATTAATTATTTTTATAATTAATATTTCCCATCTTAATGATCCTTCCCGACATGCCCTGATACACTGCAGGGAAATACACAGGAGAAATCAACTGAATATTTGAATGGAGAGTCATGATTGATGACTGTCCTCTCTTGTAATTTCAGAAATCTGCTGACGGTGTGTCATTTATTGTTATGGCTTTATAAGCAATAATACATGAGCATCTGTGATACAGGCATTCTCGTGTCTAACAGCAGGCAAAAGATGATTTTATTTAATTTAAACATGTCGGTTTTCCCACAGACTCTATCATTACCTGATAAGTGGGGTGTCACGGCAGGATAGCAACACATCAGTTATACCTGCTTTATTTATGTGCATGAATATACCTTTTATATCAATATATAAATTGGGTGAAACATGCATACAAGACATTTTATTGTATTATTGTCACATAGAAACTGGTATGAAAGTTGTCAAGTAGTAATAGGTCATATATTATTAAAAATAATTTGTTTAAATCGCATTGGACACCTTGTAATTTAAGAGGTTAAGTTAGTTTTTATAAAAGTTAAAATTGCAATAATATATTTTTGCACTAGTTACACTATTGCAAACATTTACGCAAGAGTTGACTATACCTTTATAGAGTACACTACTGTTCAAAAGTTCTCTTATTCTCATTTGCATTTATTTAATCACAAATACAGTAAAAATACAAATATTACAGTATAAAACAACTGCTTAAGGCTTTCTATCTTAATATATTTTAAAATGTAATTTATTCTTATGATAGCATAGCTGAATTTAACTTCAGTCTTTAGTGTCACATGATCCTTTAGAAATGCTGATTTGGTGCTCAAGAAACATTTCTTATTATTATCAATGTTAAAATTAGTTGTGCTACTTAATATCTTTTATAGTATTTAATATTTATAAACAGCATTTATTTGAAATACAAACCTTTTGTAACATCATAAATGTGTTCACTCACTTTTGATTAATTTATTGCATTTTTCCTGATTAAGAATGCATTTTTTTTAATTAATTTTTTATTTTTTAATATTATGGCAAGTTGTCATGCATTGCACTTGCTACAATGCTTTAATATATGACACATTGCTTTTTACAATTCCTCTTAATTAGTTTAATATTTAATCTGATATACCTTTTATAGAAATATTATTATATTGTCACAAATGTTTTTTTTTAATGGAAATGTTCTATTACTTTTTATGAAGTCAAGACTTAAAGGACCATACTTGTCCAGAAATTGAATTTCAAAAATAAACCTACCCCGAGAAATATAAATAAAAAGTATAACAACTAGCCCTGGAGTACTTGAAAACACTTTTCATTTCCATGTAAGAAAATAAGAACAACACTGAATAATAAGATAATTACTGTTTATCGCATCTAACCTTCATAAGCCTCTTTGCTGGGACATTGTCGTACTTGAAATCATGCCCTGAAATATCCCCTCAATTTATTCCATCAGAAGATGAATGCAAATGTTAAGATATTCTGATGTGAATTGTAATTTTCTCATTTCTTGTTGTTCCTATTTTACATCATGCAAAAAAAATGCACTACTCATTTTTGCCCTGAAACCGTATAAAGGAATAAATGCAAGGTAAATTGGTGTGAAATGTGGTCCTCAAACTTTTGGAAGTTATTATGTTTATGAAAAGCTGCTGTTGTAATTTCAGGATTTCCCACCCCCCCTGCAATTCTGATGCATAAATTCAACACATCCTGCTATAGCTTAGTTGATTTTCAGACGTGCGCCACTGTTCCATTGGCTGCTTTGAACTTTCTATGTCTAAATCCTGTCCAAAGGTAGAAGCAAAACCATTGCAAAGACTAGAGACAACTCAGTGCTTTTGTGACATCTACCACTTACACAAAGCCAGCCTATTCTATTCTGTGTGGGAAATACAAGATTCACAATGTGTGCTGGAGCTTCATGCACTATAGCAAAACTACAGCAAGAAATCAGGCATGATTTAAAAGTGAAATATAATGGTTCTACTATTAATTGATTTTCCTCCTGATATGTTCCCTTATTATGTTTAATTTAAGCTGGAAAATGTTATGTTATACCACAACATTCATTTAAAAGCCAAATGAAACTTTGTGAAATATTTAATTATTTTTGCCACTGTTGACAAAAATGCAAATGAATCCATTAAAGTTTAATAGCCTAAAACTATTGCGAACCTTCTCAGAGAGCAACTGAACATAATTACACTTGTGTTTTATTATTGCATATCTGATGCTTGTCGCAATAATTTCCATAACTCCGATGGCATGAGATGTTTTTTTCCCCCACATAAAATGAAAGTCAGTGCTGTAAGGATAAAAGAAACTCAGATACTTTGATCTCCTGAGAAACAGACAATAAACTGGCATCTTCAAGACAC